TGGGCGGGATTGGGTGTGTCGACTATCTTATGGTTAGTAACAAGTATGAGAGAGATCGTGTCCCACCTAAAAAAAAGGGGGGTGGCAAAGTTCTTGGAAAATGCGAACACACGGTTGAGCCTGCAACAGGCAAAAGGGCCCTATTTCGTGAATTCAAGGACGATTCTCATGTTTCTTCCACTTCTTTGAAGTGGTGTTTTACAAAATTCGAGTGTGTAAATAGCACTGTAGAAACGGGGGAAAGTGGGAAGCCACTGAAATAAACTGAAACTTTCTGAACTCGATAATTTCTACAAAATGGGGCACATGGTCCATGCCTCACAGGAAACACATCTACCCATTGATTACTGATTCGCAAATAGATCAATCGATAAAATATCACCACCTCATTCCTCGTTGTTCTTTGAATTTGAACAGAGCAAAATTGGTCAGGGTTCGCACGTCTTTTGCGGATTCTTTATAGCGATACATTTTGCCACGATGGAATCTGAAAGTGGGCACTATTTGATGGTTACTTGATAGAATCAGTCGATAACAGTGATCCATAAACTGACAGCAAAAACGTCGGGCATTCATTTTCATCGATGTGGAACCGATCGGTGACGTCATCATTCACTGAAGTCTCAACTTTGCCGACGTGTACTAAACCTCGAAGTCTGAAATTATTGCTAATCAATTAAGACCACTTTATAGTTTTGAAAAAGAAAAGTCGAAATAAATTCCAAGTCCTCTCATCTTGAAACCTCGGCATGTTCGTTGATGTTGTAGTTGTGTTTTTACTTCGAGGTTGTTAGGTGGTAAATTTTATTCTGGCCAACGTTTCGACGGACTCGTCGTTTTCAAAGGCCTGAAAATGGCTCAAAACTTACGAATTGCACACTATCCCACCAAACGCCTCCTCCACTCTACCGTTTTCGGGAAACACCCAAAATTCGAGAGATAAGCTCACCTTTTACCACCGCGAAGTGTAGCAGTGTAGTGTAGGGTGCTACACACAGTCAGTACATTAGTAGCGAATGACCTTACTCTGTTGTCCTTATGCAATTTTGATATTGCGGACAAGCACGTTATCAATATTTTGCAATATCAAAATTGCATAAGGACAATCAAACAATTGCATAACCACAAGTAAGGTAAAGTCATTCGCTACTAATGTACTGACTGTGTGTAGCACCCTGCTACACTTCGCGGTGGTAAAAAGGTGAGCTTATCTTTCGAATTTTGGGTGTTTTCCGAGCGTTCCTAACGGAACGTCAGAAACGCTAGAGCGGAGGAAGCGTTTGGTGGGATAGTGTGCAATTCGTATGTTTGAGCCATTTTCAGGCCTCTGAAAACGACGAGTCGCGTCGAAAACCGTATGGCACAGATAAAAACTTCCACCTCATGCCTCAAGGCAGAAGTTCAAAACACAACTGCTAAGAGTCGAACATATTCAAAAAAGAAAGTATCAATATTATCAAAAGGAATATTGCCTTACATTTTCTTGGCATACCCCACGGATCACCGATAAGGAATAGAAACTTAGTTGAAGCTCCATAAATTTACCCAAATCCCCGAGCCTCCAATGAAGATAGCCGAGTTCCTACTTCTCCCTTCAATACTGAGGGGGACATTTGTGCACTTGACCCTTTGCTGCGCGATGCGCTATGCATTTGAAGTCAAATTGCAGTTTCATTTGATTGATTTGTGAGCGGATCATTAGCTTACGACTAGTTGATAAGCCAACGCTTCTATTCTCGTGGACTATCCTGAGCAACAAGTGACGGACACTGCCTAGAGGCATCGCTTCTCTTGTGGAAATTCGCCATTCGGTCCATCTGTACGCTCTTGTTGGGTGCCGCAGCTTCTCCGCCGTTCACTCAGGGTACCCGACACGAAGGTCTGCCGCGCAATAAAGAAGGCTGAAACGCGGACGGGTCAGCGGATGAGTCGCACTTTGTGATGCACTACTACGTACTATGGCACATTCTTTTAAGCTTGACGCGAAATCGCACGCGCTGCATCTCGTCCGCTGACCCTTCTGCGCCCCTGTATTTCTTTTTTTGCGGGCCCCCCCCTTTTTTTATTTTTTTTTTTGCCCCCTTTCTTCTGCGCATGCGTGTTTGTGAAGGCTATCTGGGGGGGGGGGGGTGGCGGCGGGGGGGCCGGCCAAACGACGTGGAACGGGCCTCTTATCGGATACCCGTTCACTCAACTCATTTTTCCAACATAATTTCAACACAGCTTTCAAGTAAAATTCTTCTGATGCCTAATGTTGAAATGTCAGTCCACTGGACAATTTATAAGTTTTCATCCAGTAAAAAAAGGAAGGAGTAAGAGAACTCACTTATGAGCCACGGTTTCCCACATGGGAATGAACGAATTGCATGGTGCTTCGTCAGCATCATAACTGAAATGAGATGCATTAAGACCATATGTCATTCGGGACAGTCGTTCTGCGGATGCCCTGAGAACGCAGATTACTCCGCTAACTGCTATAGTTGCAGACTCGAAAAAAAAGTTGGATCATATAATCAATAGTAGCATAACAACAGCGGACATGATATTGATTTTTTCAAGGTCATAATCAAATGTGCTAGAGATTCCGCAAAAGCGATAACACTAACATCGTGGCGACAACCTTGACATTACCGATGAAACGTGCGCTTTTTGACGCTTCTGATTGCACGACGCGACGTCCGTGTTACTGTGTCTGCAACTACGGCATGTTCCGCAGCGGAAAACGAAGTGTGCATCCGCGCTTCCAGAGGTCGCTACGCGCAGCAGTCAGATCGCGACGACGGCCATGGATTGGTCGTCATTGAACCGAGCTCTACCGATATTCAGTTTTTTGATCGCTCCAAACATTCGACGAGGTAAGTGGGGCTCAGCTCCAGTTGGGCTTGTGAGTCCGCATCCGTCGCGCGATTCGTGCGACGATCACAGAAATCACAAGTGCCCGATCAATACTGCAAGGTGTTCTCCAATCCCGCCGCCATTTCTGCTTGATGGTGATGGTTGAATGACGACTGTTCATGATTCTACTTGTTTCATATTCAGTGTTTCAAATGTTCAAATGGGGCACTTGCAATTTTTGCGATTCGCGCGAATCGCGCGACGGATCGCGGACTCTGACACCAGCCTTGCAATGAGTTTGTCGCGAAAAGCTTTTCATAGGCTTCCTTGTGTGAATAAACTGCTTTCTAGATAGACGTAAAAGCTGCCCGCTTGGAGCCAACCTACTTTCACATGTTGAAAGAATAACGACACATTCAATAGAATCTTTAACCCGAATACACAAAGGCGAGATTTTGCTGTTCAATTACCCTTCATGAGAGGCCAGCCCTTCCGGGCAAGCTTTCCGTGTCTCCCAACCCGGACAAGGGTCATAACATTTACATGCCGGACGCTCCGATTCGCCGCTCGCCGCATCTGACCAAACTGCGGGTTCGCGGTGAGTGAGTACCCGACAGGAGGCTCGCCGCGCGGCAAGAAGATAGAGTCAGCAGGTGATGTGGGACGTACAACGGTACATTCTATTTAACTTGACGCGAAATCACTACAGTACGCGCTGCGACTCGTCCGCTGACTCTGCCTTCTTGCCGCGCGACGGGCCTCCTGTCGGGTACCCGCGGCGACTTTGTAAGGGCAGTTCCCGCAGATTTGTGACACTTTCCGCTGCCTGGACTGCAACGCCGAATTTTTTTATTTTTCTGGACGCAGTCCTCCTCTGTTTTTTCTCGAAAGATGTGGGCTGCGTTAGAAGCCTTTATGCAGAAGGCTGGTTCTAAGATTTCAGTCGCACTGCTGCAAGAGAAAATGAAAGAATTAAAACTCACAACATAACAAACCAGTCGAGGGTACCCTCGTCTGGTGAGTGAGAGTCGGTTCGGGATTCGAAATTGTCGTCGGTCAGATCCCAAGTGACGACCTCTTCATGCGATCGGAGCCATCGCAACACCTCTTCCGAATCTTTGAATTCGCCTGAATAAGTATGTTCAGCCACTTCTTAAAACTCACTATAGATTTATTTGCTCCACGATAAGGGTAGTGGATATAACTGATGGGGTTCGAGTGTAAAAAAAAGGGTTACTCGACAAGAAAGAGGCGAAAAAATGCCGTGTTTGAAAATCCCCGCTATAACTGTTTTAGTGAACTGTGAAAGTTCACGGCGAAGAGACCACGTGTTGAGACGAAAATCCCGACGACTACGACGACGACAACGACGATGAACAGAGAGGGATGGGAACTGGAGAGATGCAGATAAGGGTGGTCCTGCTAGCGGAGGAGAGGCTGGTCGTGCTTGGGCCTAACGTCGTTACCTATGTCTAACTCGGTGATTACAAATACAGCCCAAAAATTGTGAACCCAGTCGTATCAGCTGAAATTCTGATGAGAGTCACCATTTTCTCACAAATGTTCGCTCGATTGGAAACCTTTCCCGGATGGTTCATGGATTTGTTGTAAACGACAAGCACTGACCGCAAAGACAGGGCTGTGTCTCCCCCACTAGTCGTTATTTACGGCTATTTGCCTGTTTTGTAGAATTCTGATCTACAAGGGGGAGGGGGAATCGCTGCTCATTGAACTCAAATGTTAGTGCGGCTTCCAAGGACTGCATAAGGAAACGTTGTTGTTGGGGAAGCACCTACTCCATATGGTAGCCCTTGAGTCACTTTCCCATTGAGAGACGAATTTCCAAGACTGATCTCTTCCTGATTTTTTCCAATTTTTAGAAGATAAGGATTAAAAGGAAGTATAGCAAAATTCAGTGTCGGTAGACAAAAGCGATTTACCATCGTATAGAATCGGATTTT